TGATGATGATGATGATGATGATGATGATGATGATGATGATGATGATGTGATCACTTACACCGAAGTCTGCCCGAGCAAGACTGGTGCCTTACAGGAACTTCCAGTTCAAATCCAACCATTAAAACATGCTCCCACTGCGATGGATCTGGAATTCATGCCCAAGCTATATGTTCCAAAATGAGACCAGCAGGGATATACCTTTTCATTGTGTATGGTCTGACCCTTTTTTGACTGCACCATTGGAAGCGATCCATGATCTACAGCTGTCATAAGTCATCTTCCGGGACGCTATCATTCATCAATCTGACTGGAGGCTTTGAACGGGACGGTTCCCAAATGATGGACAAACACAACTGTCATCAGCTATGCCCCGTGATGCCTCCATACAACCATCAAACCGTTGGCAAAACTGACCAGTTAAGAAAGTTAGATCAAACTTGCTGTGCCTTGCTGCTTCAAGCGCCCAATCTACTCAAAATGGATCAAGTACTCATCAGGATGGGGCGTATGGCCAGGTGTCTCGCAGCCTTTTGTACCCGAAGGGGCCCAACATGCTACATGATCCCACGCCCCCAAAAAGAGCATCACAGTGAAAGCGAGACCAAGTTGACCAGGTGGTCGAAGTACGTCGACGTCCTCTTGCCCCGCCTCGCGCTGACCTCGCTGACCTGGCTCGGGAGGACCTGCACGCCACTCGCGCAGGGCTTTCAAGGGAAAGCACATGAAGAGTTCTTTCCAGAATGGTTTTAGGGCGTTTGTATGAACCAATGGTCAACATGAATAGCGACTAAAATACCTGAAGAGTCACTGTTTCACTCTTGTCTTTGCAGAAGTACAGCTGAGAAAGGCAAGAAAGGGCTTCATCATGTCCTGACTTGAGGAACCGAAGAGCCGGGCGCGAGAGCCCCTGCCTGCGATGGAAGAAGGTGACGGCTCCTCCAGCCAGGAGCCATCTCACCTGGACATGTGAGGTCTAGCCGGTGTGGTAAACCTGGACTTGATCCAAACCCCAAGACTCCGGTCTTAAACAAGTCTTGAAGTCTAGATTCATGTGTTGGACTTCGACTCTAGAGTCTAGGTCTTAGGCTGACGCCTAGAAAGAATTAGAGAGAGAGAGAGTGTGTGGCATTGAACAAAAGCGGGGTACAATTAGTTTGACACAGTGGCACATGCCTTCAGACTGTCCTTCACATGCATAGAGGACAGATCACCATGCCATCGGCCAATGGCAACGGCATGGGAGGAAAAGGGCCTCAGGGGCGCTGGTTCTGTAGCATGGGAGTGACCCTGTGAACATGGTGAACTGTTCATCATCTTGTCTGGTCTTAGGTGTAGGTACAGGTACCGGACGGTCTTAAGAACACTTCGCAAGAAAGGGCATGATACAAGTAACAGCAAGAGCAATATAAGGCCTTGAATTGGGCATCAATTGATGCCAGATCCCCTTCCTTCTGGACTCCAGAATCTGAAGATGACTCTCCCAAAAACCTCAGACAGAATCTGCTATATACAAGTAGAAGAGACCCCTTCATCTGCACCTTTTCTAGACTGCTAGATGCTGTTCTCATCGCCATCATAGGCTGAGCCGCCCACAGCCTCGCTTGCAAGCCGCCTCCTGGCCTGCTCAGCATCCATATGGCAGGGCGGGACAGCCGCGCGCGGGCCGCGAAAAGGGAAGATGTTCCAAGAGCAGCAAAGGTGTTCTGTTGGGCTAATGGGTGGGTCTGCTGGTAGGAAGCAAACTGCAATCTTCTTCCAATTCCAAAACGCCTGCATGAAAAGGCTAATCAATGTATATGGATAAAAATACGTCTAAGTCTATGGAAAAAGGGCAAAGAAACTTCCAGCTGCGAAGAAAATGGCTGACCTTCTGGTGGTCTTAAGGTATCTAAACAAAGAGTCTTTATCTGATTATATCTGACTCGTTGGTCCCCCGCAGCATGTCACAACTCAATGGCATGATGAGTGCTGCAAATGATGCCATGCATTTTCTGACTGTCTGGCAGGATAAGAAGCCTTGAGCCAATCAACCAGGTTTCTCATCATCAGCTCATATTTCATCGGGGCTACTGCTCGTGAACTAAACCTATTGAAAGCGCAATGTTGATTATTCTTCAAAGGTCTTCGTCAGAATCCGACATGAGACAAGGGACCTGCCTCATGACAACTTCTCTCAGGCCTAAACCTGCACATGAGATTGAGAATCACCGCTCCGGCTTCACAGAATGAAAGAGAAACCGACTACCAGAAGCCAGGGCAGCCCTGGAAATGCACCAGAAACATGGCCTCCTTGGGGCCTCCATGGCAGAAGCCCTTGTCCAAACTGGCACAAGAGTGACCTCCACATGACCGCCCCGAGGTCCCAGCCGACCGCGCTTCTCCACGAAAGGATTCAGATTCCCGGACATTGCATGGCACGGGCAACCTCCATCGCTGTGGTTTGAGGGGGTTTTCATTTCTTTCATTGCATGCAGTTGTCTTTTTCCTTTCAATCAGTGAACACATGTGAACACCACCTGTTGGCTCTTCGGAGCGTCCCTCTCTTTTCCAGGACCGGCCGGTCCCTCGCTTCGCTTCGCTCCGCTACCGGCCATGCTCGCTGCCGGGACCGCTTGGGCGACGGAGATCCATGGAGCCATGGGAGCTCAGAACTCCGGTCCAGCCTGGGATGCATGGGATTGGCCGCAAAGGACTGGGACGTTCCAACTGGGCATGAGGTGTTCCTGGGCACAGATTGAAGACTTGTCGAACAACATCCAGGTCAACATGAAGGGCAAAATCCGCTGTTGAAGGGTGGGAAACTGCTAGATTCATCAAATGACCACCCACCAATGACAAGAATGACTTGACGCACTCGGGTTCTGATAGTCTTAGTCTTAGTCAATCTCCCCATGCAAATCAATCTTCTGATTCTGTAACTCCCCAAGCCTCCGGCCTCCGATCTCTCCTCCAGCTTCTGCTCTTCGCCGCGAAAAACCACTACTTCATGGTTTGGTCATGTTTGCTCTGCTGATCTCACCCTCACCGGGCAGTCATGGTGGTCGGCTGATCTTGACCCTCGAAGGCGGTCGGTGACGCTAAAGAGAAGTGCAGGGCGCTCAGGACCACCTTGGATTGACAAGCGGAAAGGGCAGAGCCCAACATGGAGAAGGAGTGAAAGGGCAGAGTTCATGAAAAGATCTTTAAAGAAGGGAAAAGGCCTTCCATCTTGAATTTGTAAGAACATCTACTTTGAAGTTGCAAAAGCAATATGGTCTTGAAGGCAGAGCTATGCTACCATCTTGGCAGTGATATTATCAGCCTTTGTTAGCAGTAGCCCAAAAACCAATAAACAAACATCAAAAGCTATGATTCGACGATTTTTGCTCTATAAAGCTGCCCAAGGACATCGACAGTTGCTCAGGAAAGACTATGACAGCCACAGCCTGGAATCACACGAATCACACTTGCTTCTGTCCCTAAAAGTTGCACTTCGATCGCCCAGATCAGTCCAGGTTTCACCAGAGCCAGAGACCCAAAAATTTCTGACGGCCAGCAGAAGAAGAAACCTGAACAGTCCTGGACCTTCTTTCGGCGTGTGCTATCTGGAGATCCCGGATGGTAGTGCAGGGGCGAAACCAGCCAGGTGACCCCTTTGAAAGTGCTGGGTGGTCGACAGGCCCCACAGGTCACCATCCAAGGAGCACAGGTGGCCACCGTGGCTCCTCCCCCAAGCCACAAGACCAGCCGCTCCTGGAGAGGAGACCGAGGGGAGACCGATGGTTTCGATGGTTCCGGAGCGTGCACGGCCCGCAAAAAGAAACAAATGATCCTTTGGGTCTCTCCATGTCATCCATGGCCCAGGGGCCCAGGGGGATGGTGATGCTTCACGTTGCAGGCCTTATTCAGTGGTCTCCTGAAGCTCCCAGGCCGTGCTCATGGCGACTCCGTGGAGGTCCTGGCCCCTGGAATTTCGGACGTCCTGACATCCGCACGACCTCGACCTCCGGGTGAACTTCATGAAAGCATGGTTTGCTGCAGGGAGTCCTTTAAAAAGAACTAAGCCCCGGAAACCCAAGCAAGGCTACGAAAACCCCTCATTCACCTGAAGCTCCCAGCTCCCTCCTTTTTCCGGCCAGTTCACATCGAAGGACTGGAAGCTGACCGGGAATGGCAGACGAGCAGGTGAGCTTCTTCATGAAGTCCTTTATCCCTTTGCAACAAACAATATGCATGCAACCAGTCACTAGAGACCTCACCTGTCCCCCCAAAGGCCCGGCTCACCGCAACCGTTTCACACTCCGCCCCACGCCCTCTCTCCGGAAGGCTCTCAGCCAAGACGATTCCAAGCAAAGAGAGCAGAAGCGCCTGCCGAAGCCAACGCAAAAACAGAGATGCGCAGGCCGAAGTCCGGCGTTTTCGATTTGGGCAGCGGTGATTCTTGGGCGGCAGTAACCTTGAACATGGGGCAGCGGTGATTCATCTGATCGTGCGAAACCACTCATTCCATGACCCATGCCGCGTTTCTTTTGCTTGCTGTTAGGATAATTTTGGAAGACGGACCTTGGGACAAATTGATCCAAGTGATCGCAGGCCAATACTTGCCTTGCGCGCTTGGACCCCCGAGGCTGCTCCATAAAACATCCCCACCCTTGTGGAACCTCTTTAAAAGGGTGAAGATTCGGAACATCCCAACCTGTGGTGGCACTGTTCCGTCCGTGGCAGTTGCCACGCTCTCCCTGCCTCCAACAGCAGCAAGCATAGACCCCCCATGGCCAAGATCTCTTCCAGGTGCAAGACATAGACCTCATGGGGGGTGGATTTCTCAAAGAGCTCCAATGACTTGTGAGGAACTGGTCATTCATAAGAAGAGGGGGGTCACAAGGGGTCAAAAGGAATGACTATAGTACAAGTAGAACTGTCTTGAAAGGTCCACTTAGTCACTTGTTGCGATTTTCCCTGCCATGGGAAGTCCATGACTTGTCTCGACGATCAGGTCTCGCGTGTTTGACGGCACGTCTCGAGACGTCAAGCCTTTTCGGCACGTCTCGGCCGCGGCACGTCTCGCAGCACCCCCTGCCTGATAGCTGAGATGGTAGCCAAACATGAACGCCGCAACAGGGCCCAGCCTCCCCGGTCAGACAACCCCGCAGAGTGGTCTGTGGCCCCTTTGAGTGTTTTGTTTATGTTCATGGTGTGTGCTTCATTCCGAAAAAAAGGACTATATGCAAAGCAACAATGGCTTTCCAGGAGGTCCACCACGATGGTCCATGATCAAATCCCTGATCAATGAAGGTAGATCTTCCACCAGGATTTGACGCTTTTCGGTGAAAACCGGTGTTTTCAGGTGGGCGAACCCTCCCTGCACCCTGGAACTCACTAGAGCACCATACATGGAAAGCAACGGATGTGATTGAATTCTGTCAGATCAAGGGGAAAGAAAGCCGTCCAAGCGCAAAGCTTGGACGGGCCGGAGTCGGGGAACCGGGAACCTCTGTTCGACAGGACCTACACCATGAACTCGCCGCCTTCCCGGTTCCGGGAAACGCGCACGCGCGTTCGACGGCGCGCCATGCCACGAAGATCAGCAGCGACACTCGATGGGTCCTTCCAGTCTTCAAGCAACAAAAAAGAACTTCGACAGACTGATCGACCAAATTTTGCGCCACCCATGATACTCTAGATTCTAGATGAGACAAAAGGAGAAAAGGAGCAAGAAGGATGCTCAATAGTAGCTTTTCATTGAGCTTGTAGTTAACAATAACAACGTGATAAATTGACGTTGTCAGGCAAACGAGATGATCAAACTACCCCTGCCTACGTCGAGGCAAACCCTGACTTTCGTTTTCTTTGGTTTCCCTGTTGCACTGGCTCTCAGAGCAGAACATGTCTTCCAAGCAGCCCAGTCAAAAGCCTCTTTTCGGGGCAAACCTCTCTGCGGACCATCGCACACATTGGCAATCTCTGAGCGGCCAACGAGACAGCGAGCACGGCGAGCCACTTGAGTTGTCACGGGATTGCAGAAGATCAATCTCAACCCTAAGAAGACAAAGAACTGACAAATGATTCCTGGAAAGGGTCAACCTTGTCCGCGGAATTCAGCGACGGATGCCCCTACATGCCCTACCGGGGCCCTTCCAACGAGAAAGAGAGGAAGGACGAAGCAAACGGAGATTCCCAAAATGACGTCAATTTCACAGAGGCCGTGCCTTGCACATGGAAAAGTAATTCCAGGTCTTGAATCCTACCGTGCATCAGTGAGATGGTGCGGGATCAAGATGCATCTTACGGCGTGAACAGCGTGATTGGCCTCGGAGAAGCTGACACCAGTCTCCTGCCTATGCCCATGTTGATTCTCTTGGGGCGCCTGGGGCGGTACCTCCCACAAATCCTATCCTGAAGAGCGTTCACCAAATGCAAGGGGCTCTGTATCCGCGACATGCCAAAACCATCTAGATCCAAGCTATGTATGTGGTGTGAGTTCGCGACGGAGCCGGCCTTCCCATACGTAAGAGATGTAACACAAGCAACCTCATGTGTCGGAATTGGTCTCACATTGACCTCAATTCACGCATTTTGTCTCAAAATAGACGAGCGGACCCCCAAAGCCCCTGGCAGAAAGGAAGATATACAAGAAACCGACCCATTGGCTGCAGCCCCTCCCCTTCGTGGACATCCCCATTGGGTCTTCCATTTCGCTTGAAGTGCCGCTGAACTCAGCGCCACTCAAAGACTCTTTCGAGAGCTCGCCAGCCACGTGTGGGAGCGAGCGAGAGCGAAGCACTTGCTTTGCAATGGGGGCAACGCTTGCGTGGTTAGTTCCCCGGGCCGGACCGAGCTGAACTGGAACAGCGGACCGAACGTGTGTGTTAGGATGCCGGATGCCGGATTCGAATCGGATGGTGCGAACGGTAGAACGGAAGGTGTTTATGTAATTTTTGCGCTATGCAAGCTGCATTCTTCCCACCTTGCAACATGGACCAGTCTCCTCAAAGACTGGGTTTTTTTTCGGCACCAGTGAAGCGGTACACATGCGTAAAAGGCTGGTGCTTTCAGGCTGGTTCTCTTTCGTTGGTGACATGTTTCACTTGCATGCACTTGGATCAAGATGGCACGTTTCGAAACATGGTTTGATATATCAAATACAAATTGGCGTCGGCTTCAATAGAAATGGCTTCAATATGTGACCGGCTCGCTCGTATCATGTGGACAGCTGACGGTCCTTTCTACGACAGGTGAGAGCCAAGCGGGCTTGAGTTGAGGGGAGTGGCCCATTTGGGGGGGCATCACTAGTAGGGTTGGAGGCCAGAAGCTATTAGTAACAAGAAGCTACGAACGTAACAAAGGCATTTCTACCAGTAGCAAGGACGCTATTAGCATCTATTAGCAGCTCCGGGCATTACTACTAGGAACAAGGACGCTACTAGGGTGGAGGCCATCGCTATTAGGTTGGAGGAGCCTTCCAGCTGTTGAAGATGAACTTTTCGGTCACAGTCGCGGCCCAACAAGTGCTTCGTAGAGCCCATGGGTAAACGCAGAGGTTAACTCACGCTCTGCCATGGGACACAGCCAACCGCGTCTCATCCAAGGGCAACCTGTTGGTTGCCTTCAAAAAGTCCATGGTTCTTGTCCAAAACATGTTAGTTCTTTTCTTCCAAAGACCAGCTTTGCCAAGGACCTGCTGTCAGTCTCGGCTGGACGAACGCGCATTCTTTTGTCAAATACAATCTTAAGGGTGCGCCCAAAGCAGGTGCACCACATGTAAAGCATCGTTGCTTCTGTGAGCAAGGATGCATTTACATCCACGCATGCAATGTCGGCTGCGCCAAAGATCTTCTTGTTGTGCGTCAAGCATATTCAAGCATGTTAGGCGGACGGGAAAAAAGAACCTAAGACATCTTGGCCACACTATTCGATGCTGGAGGTGCTGCTCGCGCATGAAGCAACTACAGAAGTCCAAGTTTACACACCACAGTGAAAGCCACCAAGTCAACAGAGCGAAAACAGTTGGAAAACATCCCAGAGCAGTAGAGGAAGCTCACAGTCTGCCAGTAACAAAATACTCCCAAAAGTCTACCGCTCCACATGGGAAACTCACCGTTCGGCAACTCTCGTAGAGCATCCCCCAAAATAAGGGAGGCCAGGGTAAATTGGCCCGTTTAATCCAAAGGAAGCACAAGGTCATAGTGAACTACAAAGGTTTAAGAGCCACTCAAATGGTACCAAGCAATTTCTGGGCTTGTGGGGGTCTTCTGTTCGCGCATGATGAGAAGGCACCTTCACATGACCGCGACGGGGGGTTGTGCCCCGCCTCCCTGGCGCCTGCCAATTAAAAGTCGCCGAACGAATGCGGCACCACTCACCGAAGGGCCGTGGGCACTGGGATCATCTGCACCGGATGATGCGCCTGGCAGGCAGTTGCTGAAGCAGTCGCATCTGGGAAGCAAATGAAAGGAAACACTAGGCGGTCGGCACCCAAACATGTGGAAGAGATGTCACTGGATTTGAAAACTTCAAGTACCCGCCAACAACTGTCACGAAGTCCCTTTGTTGTATTTTGCTGTTTTGTTTGATAAGGTGTCTCACGGTAGGAATTCCTCCGTCAAACGTTTCGCCAGCACCAGGATTCCTCCCTCTCACGCCCCCCGAAAGAATTGACATAGAACATAGATGCATGGCCTGGCAAAGATAGAATCCCTCCCTTTGCTTTGAAGGAACGTAGATTATATCAACAGCGCGTCTCAGTGTGCATCATCTTCCAGCATCCAATCTTGGCCGGAGAGAGTCTCAGTCACTCCCGCTCAATCCATGACGAAATGACCATCATGACCTGCCTACCTGGTCTGGGGGCGCCCTGATCCTCACCACCGGTGGCCCTAAGGCGTCGCCTCCGAGCGACCGAGGCTCCGCGCGTTCGACACTTGGGGCGTCCACGGCTGAGTGTACCAGGCCGGGTTCGGACTTGGAACCGTCCTGGACGGGAGCCGGGGTCGATCCAACCACCAAAACATCGGAAAGAAAGACGAGACATCTCCAGTTGCAAGAAATGATTGGTGGGATGAACATGTGTGAACATATTGGATCTATCCTATTACCTGGGCCCAGTGTGGTGAACAGTCTCTCTTGCAGCGTGGTATATTCTATTATTGCAACATGAGAGGTAGAATGATCTAGAGCGTACAGTTGGACATGTCCATTACAGTTGTCACGCGTCTGGTGTTGGAATCCTCACCTGGATTAAATCCCAGAATTGCCCTACATGCAATCCTCACGTCCCCTGGTCTCGCAGCCAGCTGTCATGTTGCCAACATACCCTGCAAATAGCTGCAGAATCTTGATGCTGTTAACCCACACATCCCCCTCAGCTCGATGATGCAGGAAGATGACTAAACCCATGAGATCGATTTCAAATGAAGTCAACATTGAGCCGCACCTAACCAAATCAAGCCTACTCATCTCATCTACTCTTGTATTCTGGTAATCTAGACTCTACACTCTTGATTAATAACCCCCGCTTTGGGGTTGTAAAGCCTCATCATATGGATGGTTTTCTTCATCAACAGTCTACACGTTGGCACCATGGGGCTGGCATTGCGGCAGCACGGTGATCATCCACATGAATCCAAATGAATCGTAAGTCGTGCCCTCCCAAAAAACCTGAGGCGCTGCTGGTGTAATAGGTCATCCTGCACATCCAAACGGCCATCGGCCACCCCTGCCTACAACACTACGCAGTAGAAGACCCAAAGAGACTGGGCTGTTGAATTTTATGATGAGCGCTTTGAAAATTGGTTGGGCCTGGGAGAAAAAGGCATCCGCCCTTTCCCTTTATGTTGGAAAGTCGGTGCGCCCGGGCATCCCTCTGCCCCTCCTCTGTGCTTGGACCGCCCGGGTCTGCACCTCGACGAACGACACGCCGCGTAACCCGAAGCGGAGGAGGCGTTCACACCACGACGTCAGAGGAGGATGAAAGCTCGGGTTTTGCGATGCTTGGTGGTTGGATCATGTTGGATCCAGATCTACCACAATGATTCTTAAAGAAACACCGAAACAGTGACCAAATGCTGCAAAACCACGAGTGGCTTGGCAACATTGTTGGTCAGTCAGCCCTACATGTGTCCAAAAAGCCATGAACAGCAGAACCTTAACCCTCCTGGCTTGACTCCACAGTGACCCCCCCCCAGGACCGGATCCCCGGCACGACCTCGCCTGGGGCGAGGAGAGCACCGGCATCTGCACCTGCTGCACCTGCTGCATCTGCTGTATCCAGGCTCCATTTGCTGGGTACCCGCTGGACTCCGTGCGGATCACCTGGTGCGCCACCTGAGGTCGGCGACCGCCACGGAGGTGCGGCGCCACGGAGGTGCGGCGGAAGGTTCGGCCGTTTTGGGTGGTTGGAGAGGGAGGTGGAGAGGGAGGCTCGGGGCACCAAACCAAAAACCGAGATCATACCTCGGTTCCAGGTGGCAGAAGGAGTGGTGTTTCTGGTGTGTCTAAGGTCTATCTTTAGCTTCTTGTTCCTTTTTCTTCGTGTTGCATGTGATTCCGGAGACCGTAGTTTACTGGTATTCAAGGTATGATCGAAGTAGTTGGATTGCCATGAACCT